AGCGGGAACCACATCTCGTGTATCAAGTAAGTCGAAAGTCTTCAGAGAATAGAACGCTTCTGACAAGAATGAGTGCGTTTGGTCTGCCGGGGGTAGGCACCTTCAGGGGCCCAAGTGCCAAAAATGCCTCAGAGAACTGTCAAAATGTTTGTAGGCTGATAAACAACAATGGCTGGGAGGCGGGTTTTGGTCAGGTACCCTGGGAGTGGACTTGAGTGCCCATGGGATGCCGTGAGCAGCTCACTTCAGAACTGGTCGGCATCTCTCTGGATCCAGCAGAGGATGATGGGAGTTAGTAGAAGAGATTGGATTTATACCCCGCCGTTCACTACCCAAAGGAGTCTCAGAGGGGCTTACAAACTCCTTTCCCTTTCCCTCCCCACGACAGACAACCTGTGAGGTAGGTGGGGCTGGGAGAGCTCTCTCGAGGACTGCTCTTGAGAGAACAGCTCTGAAAGAACTTGTGAATGTCCCAGGGTCACACCAGCAGCTGCAGGTGGAGGAGTGGGGAATCAAACCCAGTTCCCCCAGATTAAGAGTCCGTGCTCCTAACCACTACGCCAAACTAGCTCTCTCAGGTTCAAGAGGGGACTGGATAAACATATGGAGCAGAGGTCCATCTGTGGCTATTGGCCACAAGATATAGATGTCTGGGGCGAGTGATGCTCTGTATTCTTGGTGCTCAGGAGGCAACAGTGGGAGGGCTTCTGGAGTTCTGGCCCTGCTGGTGGACCTCCTGATAGCACTTGGGTTTTGGCCACTGCGTGACACAGAGTGTTGGACTGGACGGGCCATTGGCCTGATCCAACATTGGCTTCTCTTATGTTCTTATGAAAGCTCTGGGAGGGCTTCTGGAGTTCTGGCCCTGCTGGTGGACCTCCTGATGGCACCTGGTATTTTTGGCCACTGTGTGACACAGAGTGTTGGACTGGACGGGCCATTGGCCTGATCCAACATTGGCTTCTCTTATGTTCTTATGAAAGCTCTGGGTTGGGAAATACCTGAAGATTTTTGGACGTGGAGTCTGGGGAGATCATGGTTTGAGGAAGGGAGGGATCCGAACGGAATGCAGTGCCGTAGAGTGCACCCTCCAAAGCAGCTATTTTCTCCAAGTGAACTGACCTTGGTCGTCTAGAGATCTCCAGGTGCCACCTGGACACTGGCAACCCCGGTTAAGGCCAAGGAGGAGTGAGGCTTTGGGGGGGGGCACTTACAAAATCTGTCCGCAGTCTGTAGAAAGTTTAGCCCTTGCACCTGCCGAATTGGATTGTACCCACTGAAATAATTTGTCTGACAAAACCAGTCCTTCCCATGCAGGGAGAGGAACACAAAAAACTCGCCTTTGTATCCCGTTACTTAAGCTAAAGTGAAAGCCACGGGTCCCTTTATAGCATTGTAATTTGTGCTAAACTCTGGAGAAAATACTTGGCCGGCCTGCAAAGAGAGTTCCTAAATGGGTGGTGTGTGGGGGGGGGGAAGACACCTCCCTGTTTTAAAACGGTGAAAAACATGCTCTTGTGAAGGTTCACAATGGCTTGGCAGCCAGGGGTCGGCCGTCTAGTCATGCGGCTTCTGAAATCTGATAAACAGCTCAGCGTGCAGGGCCCGAACCGCCCCGTGATTCAGGATCTGCATATTTGAGGTGGGTGCATCATGTCTCAGGGAGTGAGGTAACTCGTTTCCTTCCCCCAAATGAATGCTTTTTGGTCGAATGACGCAACTCACGCGCTCTCTCTCACACCCCTTCTTATCGTTTTGCTTTCTGCTCTCAGGAGTCTGGCAGAAAAGATTTGCATCCAACGTGCCCGGTGGTTAACATTCCAAGCGTCTTCTCCGTATTCAGTGCTTCCCATCTGCCTTAGTTCGTGCTGGTTGAATCTCAGGACTAAACTAGACAGAAGCCAGGAGGCCCGTAATTAAGATCTTCCCCCGGGGGTTTTAATGGCTGATTTAGCAGCCCAAGTGATGTTTTGAAGATCAGGCAAGGATCACTGGGATATTTTCTTCCTGTCCTTTCCCCCCAGTTTAAAGAGCCTCTCTGTCTTAAAGCTGTATACATCAGGTAGCCAGCACCAATGCTCCCTCTAAGCTGTGGATTCCTGTGAGCAAAAATTCTACTTGGTGAGCGACTGGCATTAAAGTCGTGAGTGAGCCATTTGGCCACTGCGTAAATTAGTTTGCTTCTGGAGCCATCCTTTCTGAGCTAAGATAAAAATGCATGAGTCAGACAGGCTAAAAAAACCATGAGCCTGCTCACACTAACTCCGCTTGGAGGGAACCCTGGCCAGCACGGTCTCGCCAAACGCAGGGGAGGGTGGCATTTGAGGAGGACGTGACATAATTTCAGGGTTATATTGTAGGCTGTTTTGTAATTGTGGGGCTGCCGCTGAAAAGGCCCTGAGCACCCTCCAAAGGCCCTGAGCATCCTAGCCTGTTGATCCGGTTTATGATGCTTCATATCCATGGGTAGTCAGCAATGTTCCCTCTAAGCTGTGAGGTCTTGTGAGCAAAAATTCTACTTTGTGAGCTACTGGCGTTAAAGTAAAGAGCAAACAATTTGGCTACTGCATAAATTAGTTTGCTCTGGAGGCCATCTTTCCTGAGCTGAGACAAAAATGTGTGAGCTGGAGGCTAAAAAACTGTGAGCTAGCTCACACTAACTCAGCTTAGAGGGAACACTGGTAGTCAGTAAGGAGTTATGTACGAGTCCGATACGGTTCCTCGTGTGTGGTGAATGCTTGCGTCTTCCAGTAAAACGTGTGATGTGGTGGGAAGGCCTGATTTTGTGCCTCTCACTTGTGCATTCTCCTTACACATTGTGAATCGCCTGTGGGATCTGTGCGTACGGAATTGTGTCTCGTGTGCCACAGCCTGGAATGCTGTGAACCAGTTCAGAGATGAATACTTTCTGTGAACTCATTTGTGTTGGCTTTGGAAGCGAACACAGCCTGGATTTATCTATTGGCTGGATTTCAAAGCTGATGTAATACCTGTGTACGTATATATAAGATAAAAACACGATTAAACCTTCAAATGGATATACTCATTTGTTGTTGTTGTTTTTTTAAAGAAAGTTTTCTCCAGCCCTTTGTTCCGTCATTAAGGGGTTGTAGAGGAAATTCAAAATAAAATAAAATAAAACACTTCTCCCACCAGTTCCTAGTAACCACAGATTGACTCAAACTGAACTTGTGGGTTAGCATGTCAAACAGGAGAACAGTTGAATGGTTATTATGCTTTTTTGCCTCTCAACTGCAGCTGTTACCATGTGTGCTAGGCTTCTCTTTAGGCAACATGGTGGTTTTGATTCTCTTCCTCTCAAAGCTGTGCCTTTTCTTTGTGGGATGTTATTCTCAGACAAAATGACCTTGGTGAAAAGGCTTAGTGCTTAGGCCTGCCGGGTTTCCCCATACGGTGGGAAGACCTCCCAGAAATCTCCCCCATATGTCACTGCTGTTGAAAACTGTAGTGATGGCATGGTGTCAGGGGCAATACTATAGGATCTGCTCAAGTCCCTATGGTTTAACCATAGAGTTTTGGTGAATCCTAGAGCGTCACCCCCTGATGCCATGATGCCACTTCTGGTTTTTGCTGGAAGTGATGTCACTCGCCGGTATGATGCCGGTGCACCTACCCTGCCCCCAGTGGCCTGTCACCCCAATAATTTCTATAACGCGTATACTATAGAAGACCTTGTATGATGTTTCTGTAGATCTGCAAGGTAACTGAGATAGCAACTTTATTCTGTTGCGGCATTCCCCCCCCCCCACACACAAAAAAAGAAGAATTCTGAGGCAAAAGCCTCCACCATTGACTTAAGGCCCCAGCTGAGATATAAATAGGAGTCCGAAGTTCTTCTATGTCCCATGTACTCTTCCTGCAAAAAACCCTGAAAACAGAGTAGGCAGCCACCGGGGTCATTTCGTAGAAAAAGAGGTGCAGGAGCTCATTAGCATAACTTATTAGCATAACTTATTTGCATATGCCACACCCCCTGACATCACCGGATGTGTGTCAGAAGGCAACACCCACCGCTCAGACTCCCCACTGGACTGTTTTAGATTGCTAGCTATTGGGGGAGGGGAACGTGTAGATCTGTCCTCACAGAGGAGGGAGAGCTTGTACCTGAATAAAACTTGGTCTTAAAGGTACCACTGGACTGTTTTGGATTGCTAGCTATGTGGGGGAATGCGCAGATCTGCCCTCACAGAGGAGGAAGAGCTTGTACTGAAGGCAGGCCGGGGGGGGGGCTGTGCAACTTACCTGGCTGCTTCTTGCTCCTCGTGGCCCAATTGAGGGCTGCTGGGAGCAGGGGGTGGGGCTTGTTGCATGTGTCTGCCCCCCGGGCTCCTTACTGCCAGAGCTCCACTCCTGTGCTCTCCTGCAGGAAATGACCCCTGGCAGCCACTCTTTGGAAATCCAGTGGCACTGTCTTGACGGACAGCGGCCGGTGCTTGTTAATACTTATCTCCTGCTCTTCCGTGCAAGCATCCACCCAGCCCCTGTTTATAATTCTGCCTGAAGACAGAAACAGTCCATTTACCGTCCACCTACAGAGAAACTCAGAGAAGGCCGGTTCCAAGTATGAAAATTAAAAACAAAACAAACACAGCTTGCGCTAGGGTTGCCAAGTGGAACTTACCTTGGCGGTGGGGGACTCCTGGGTGGATCCCGGAGCGTGCGCGCACGCCACACACACGTCACCAGAAAGTGACGTTATGACACCGGGCATGCTGGGGGCGGGAAACCATAGCGTTTTCCCTTGTATTGCCGTGGCCCCGCCCCCAGCATGCCAAGCTTGCCGGCGTCACTTCCGGGTGACGCGCACGTCGGGGAGGAGTTCCCCCGGGGGGCCGATCCAGCGGCGCCAGGGAACGGGCCTCTGGGGCGGGGTTTTCCCCGCCCCCCGGGGGGACTTGGGATCCCTAGCTTGCGCCCTGACCTGGATAGCCCAGGCGGGCCCAATCTCGT